AGCGCCAGCGGCACTCAGAGGCGCACACCCCACTGCCGCCGCCTCTTGTGCAACGCTGGTTTAAAGAAAAGGGCGCGCACGTGCTGCTCCGAGCCAGGCGCCTTGACAGCCTCTTACATCACTGCCAGCCAATGACCGCGCTCCCGGCGTGTTTATACCTGCGCGGCCGCGCCCCCGCCCCGCGCCAGTCCTGACCCGGGGGGGACGGGTGGGAGACCTCGAGGCGGGACTCCCTGCTGGGCTCCTGTCCTACCCCTGGGCCGGCCAGGGCACTGCTCTGGGCTGGGGGACTCACACCTCAAGGTCACCCCCGGCCCCCTGTCACCTCAGTAGGTGGCCATAGAGGATGGTCGGTTGTCCTCTACTGGCACGAAACTGGACACCTTTATGTCCTCTCTTCAAGAGAAAAAGAGAGGCCATAAGGGTGCTGGGTTTCATATCAATAGAGGGCAGAGGATAGGTGTCCTCTATGATAGCCACCCTGTTCCTCAGTCCCACATTTTGTGGGAGCAACTGAGAGAAGTGCTCATAGAGAAGCAGGGCTGGAAAGGACCTCCCGAGGTCATCGAGTCCAAGGTGTTTTCTTTGAAAAATAAACCCAGCCTTCAGTGGTCAGGGTAAAACCCAACGTCAAAAAAAATCCCAAATGAATACTGTAATTTTGCCAGCAACTGCAGGCGGCCTGAAACCATAGCTCCAACTTTCCCTAGTCATCACAGTGGGGAGCTAACTTTGCCTAAAACTGACCTTTCGAATGTCCCACCCTTGCTATTTAACTGCAGAAACATCCAACTAACATGCAGTCCCCAACCTGCCTCCCATACTTTCCTGGGGGGCAGCAGCACCCGATGTTGTCTCACATTCAGCCCCGCCCCCCCCCTTACACATTGGCAAACAGAGTCATATTTTTTAGCACACAACTATGCAGCACGTTGTAAAGGTATTAGTTTATGCCTTATGAGGCTGCATCACCAGATGTTCAAGCATAAAACATTATGGAACATATTAAAAACTATTACAAAATGTTTATAATTATGGTAATTTTCATGGCTCTGTAGAGCTGGAAGACAATATAGGGCCCTGTGCACAGTCATAGTTGATGTATATTAGCTCAATCGAAGTAATACAGCCTATGGTAGCCTGAGGTAAAGGGGGTTAAGTAGTTGTAAAGAGAAGAAGAAAGACAGAAGAGATTCAGAGAAGAAAAGAACTATAATGAGAGGAGAAAAACAAAACCCTGAACATGGTAAATATATTTTTACACATTTATAAGATTTTAGGACATTGTTAAGACCCTATTTTTGGTATGCAATGCACACTTGCTGGGGTGGAGAATATTCAAAGGCATTGTCACTGTAAGTCCATGGCATGTGTATTGGGGGGGTTGATTCTGTCCCTTCAGTCTTGCTTCTGGCAGGTGATCTCAGCCAAATGTCTTCATACTGGTGATGGCCCGTAACATCCTTAGCACAGATGTCCCTTGATCATTGGATGGTATTGGATACAATGAGATGCCTCATTAGTTTAAAGTAGCAGCAGGGTACTCTGCAGATTCACAGGACACTTTCTGCAGACTCACAGCACATTCACAGGACACTTTCATTCAGGACATTTTCACCTCAAGGTTCCAAGCTCGAGGTACCCCAACAATTAGCACTTGTACTATCATGTAGTACCTCTTCTCAAATGGGATGGTCATGTCAATCATCAGAATCTCTTTGTTGTCCATGTCCATTAGCAATGTCTGGATGCAGCTGCCTGTTGCAGCCTGGAACTGCGTGATTCACTAATGCCAAGATGGACTTTACCATTAGTCCTATATGGCGTTGTGGAGGAGTTGCCAGGCTCTTGCATGGGGCTTGCAGCCACACAGGACGTGGGGCAGGGTCTCGCTCTTATAGCTGCACCACCAGCACCTCTCGTCTCCGTGGACTTAATGGATGGTATCACTGAGTAGAAGACAGTTGATAAGATGGATGAAGCATCAGTCTGCAAAGTGCATGAAGTTCCCTTGGGGCATGAAGTAGTTGCTGGTGTCCCACTTTGAGGTGACGTTGAAGATTTTGCTGTGGTTGGGTTTTGCCTTCAGGTCTCCAATGTACTTGACCTGCATGGCATCCTCTCCCTGACTCAGGAGTGGACGGTGACCTCTACAGGTTATAGAAGTTTTGATTTGGAACCTTGCAGGAGAGCAGATGGAAGTTATGGAACTAGTGTGTGTCTTAGGCACTTCCCGAGAGAACAGGGTGAGGAAGAAACTAATTAGGACCACAGGCAAAAGCAGCTCAGAGTGCAGTTAAGGATGGAATCTGCTGGGAAACCTAATCTTGGGGCCCCTGGACTTGGGAACAGGAAGAGCCTGAGTCCTCCTATTCAAGGACCTTATTATACCTGCAGAGGATTTAGAATGCTGGTGTTAAATGGACCTTACTCCATTTAGATTGGAAAGAGCATCTTTAGATTGGAAAGAGCATTTTAAGATCTCACTGGTCTACTAGAACATGGTATTGTATTGTGACTTACTATAATACTATCCCCCAAAAAACAGAACTCAAATCAAGGTGAACCCCCTTGCACATAATGCCAGAAATAGGATTTTCTGTCATTTTAGAGGTCATATGACACTTATCTAAAATCCAGATAAGAGGTAAAATGCCCCAGCAACAGATGAATGATCTAAAGCAGGAGTGCCAAACATGATCCACAGTCACCCCATGCAGCTGTGTCTTAGCAGAATCTCAGTGTGGCTTTGGACCATCCCAGGGGGCAATTGACATAATCTTTTTTGCTTGCCAGGTCCAAGAAAAGTGTCAGGAACTACCTGTATATGGCCTTCATTGACCTCACTGAAGCCTTTCATTTCATCAATTGCAAAGCCCTGTGGAAAGTACCGGTCAGATTTTGATGATTTGAAAAGTACATCAGGGTCCTGAGGCTTTTCCACCACCAGATGACTGTGACCAGTGTTTCTAGTAGACTGGAGACATCCATTTGTCATCCAAACAGAAGTCACACAAGGATGCATCATTGTTCCAACTCTGTTCTCCATTCTTTTTGGCAGTCATCCTGGTTCTCATAAAGGACCACTTTCCTTTCTGGAATTGTCATTGAATACTGAACAGTGGAGGGTTCTTCAATCTGGGAAATTTTCTCTTGAAGACCAAAGTACTCAAAACAACCATCCTTGACTTTCAATACAGTGATGACTGTGCCATCTTTGCACACACTGAGTAAAACCTCCAGACTGCTCTGGATCTTTTTGGAGAAGCCTACCGAACTTTGGGACTCTCTCAACATTGAGAAGACTGAAGTCCTCTATCAGCCTGCCCTGGGCCATGAGTGTGATCCCCCTCCCAAAATTACCATCAAGGGAAGGTAGTTTCCTACCTCAATAGGCACCTGCCTTAGAGAGTAAACATTGATGGGGAGATCCTGCACAGGATCCAGTGCGCAAGTGCCTCCTTTGGGGAATTGCTTCAGCATGTCTTTATTCATCACAATCTCCAGAAAGACATTAAGATCCAGGTCTACAATGCAGTTAGCATCCCCATCCTCCTCTATGGATGTGAAATGTGGGTGACTTACTGTTGTCATCTCAAGAGCCTGGAGAGGTATCACCAATGATGCCTCCAGAAAATGATCTCTAGGAAATGGAAAGATTGCTGCACAGATTCTAGCATCCTTGCTGAAGCCAGTGTTACCACAGTATTGGGTTGGTGATCCTCAAGCACCAACTTTACTGGACTGGACATTGTGAATGGATGCCTGACTCTCGATTCCCCAAACAAGTACTCTACTTCCATCTTAGTAACAGCCTG